TAGAAAATCCTCTAAAGCTAATCAAGTTACACAAGACAGGTGGGTTTTAAGAACAAACAATAGAATCAGAAAAAAAAACCCATGAACACATATTTCTGTAGGATAAAATTTGGTGAATATATATATATATTTTAAAAACATGTGTTGTTACCTCTGTCATCCAAACATTAGCACTCTTAATGTTTGGGGCTGTGATGTTTGTCTTAGAGCAGAATTAGTCCTTGGATCTTATCCAAAAATGTTTCATTTACAGAGTACCTTGGAAATTCTTCATTGTGCAATGATGTCCACTAAAAGCTAACCCCCAGGATGGACAAGTGATAGTCCTGAGGGGTAAAATTTGCTTCAATTTTTTTAAATTTACATGAACTTTTTTTTCCTAACCCAACCTTCTTTTTGTTGAAAAGGCAATGAGGCAATCACAAGATCTGGGCCACACAATCAACTATGCTGCTTGTTTACATAGTTCTTAACTAGTTTGGAACAATGGTAGTAGAGAGTGTTTTGAACTCTATTTACAACAAGGAACAAAAATCAAAATAAATATTCAGTTGGCTTCATAACGAAGCAAATATTTTCTGTATTATGTAGTAATAAAAGTCAGTGTGCACTGTAAATAAAGTTTGCTCAAGGGCTCTATGAAAAAGAGCCAAATGTCGAATAACAGCCAGAATTCTACTACAGAGCAAAGAGAGCTAAGAAATTAGTCACAATCCCTGAAACATCATGTTGCACTGTGTTTGGTTTGGTACTTTTATATATATATGTATATGTACACACACACACACACACACACACACACACACATATATATATATATATGTATTTTAGAAAGTGGAAAGTGTAAAGCGACAGTAGGATTGGCTTGATGCCCTTGGTACCGTTACTCATTGAAATAATGGGGGAAATGAGTGCCAGACCTATGGGGTTTAGGGGAGGGAGGGAGACGGCACACATCTCAGTAGAGTCTTTAAATGAAAGGTGGAAAAGTAGAACCAAAGAAAGGGGGAAAATGGCATTGTGTTGAGGAACATAAGCAAAGGACTCTTGATTATTTACTTGACCTGATGAAATGCAGAAAGTCACTTCCTTTTAAATGTGTGTCTGTTGAGCTAAGCGGGATGCAGGGTATTGTGCCCTCCTGGAGCACTGAACTAGACCCTCTCTCATTGTTACTGAAGTCATTATTTCTTGAAATAGAGTAACTTCTCCCTAAGAGTCTCCACAGACCTCTTTGCCAAATTAAGTTTGCTCCCCTTCTCTTTCTCCATGCCCCTGGGACTGATGGCAGGAGCTCTGTGAATATAGGAGAAACCAAAGGTCCATGCATAAAAATTTGCAGGTGTTGAGTACATATGGTCCTTCATTTGTGGGATGTGAGCACTTCAGTTTGGTTTATAAGTTTTAGCCCAAAGCTTTGAAAACTTTGGAAAACATTATTAGGGGCTACAAAAAAATAAAGGGTTTTGAGTGCCTGTTCTCTCTCCTTCTCTGTTACACAAAATGCTTGTTTGACTAGTGAAAAAGAAAGAACAAAAATCAATTAATATACAAAAGCCCATCTCAATAATAAATCTCAAAATACGCAGTTAAGAATCACTTGGAGTGTTTTGTTCTTTTATGATGCTTTTGTTGCACTGCTCAAGAAGAATGTCAAGACTGAACTCTGGAGAAAGAAGTTTGGCATGAATAGTCACAGGTCTGCTGCCAGCCACCGTGGGAAGGACAAGGGGGTCTGGACGAACTAGTCATCCACTTGGTGTCTAGGGAAAATTATTGCTATTATAATCTCAAACTGGAAAACTTGGAAACTAGAACAATGAGATCAAGGCCAAATATCACAACTGCCAGGAGAAAAGGGAAAGAATTATAAAGGTCATGACCTACCTTTCAAATTTTTTACTTTCAAATTCTTTAAAAGAATTTAGGAAAATTATCTCCTAGAAGAATGTTTCTTTAAAATTTGCCATCTAAATAAAGGATACAGTAACTGAAAACTTATAAATATTAGCAAGTCTAGATGTTTCTACTAATCTTATAAGTCACTCATATATATGTAATTAATAGGATATATTGCACATTCATTTCATTCTATTTCCTCTCTGACCTCATGTTCTAAATGTAACACATTTCATAATAAAAAGCTTTTCTGTCTCTACAAAATACAAAAGAATCAACCCAAAAGTATGATTTTCCCAATTCTATCTTCTGTAAAAAATAAATGTATATTTAAGTTAAATTTAATATTTGCAACTTTTTATGTTCACAAATTTCTAAGAATTGAAAAGTATATTCTTCTGGTAATAATATTTTAACTTTTGGTTCTCAGTAGCATATGTTTTGACAAGGAATATGCTTTTCAGAAAAAATATTTCTGTAAATAAAATATTAGGCTCTCATTTTCCCCAACTTGGCAGTGGATAAATATTTTTTATTGACAGAATGAGATAAGGCTATTCATAAAATCCTATTTTGAATGTTCACATTTATCAGATATATCCTAAAAATGTTCCTAAGGAAAATAGAGGATTTTAATAATAGGACTCCGTCTTTTAAACTCCTAAGGTATATACTAAAACTCACTTAGTGATTGAGTACAAAAATTATATTTAATGGCATATAACCTAACAAATCAATTTAAAAACCAAATGACAAATAATTATAATTTTAGTGTTTCAGGGGGGGTGGCAGAAATATAAATGAAATATCGTTATAAATTATATGGAACAAAGAATTATGAATGCCTTGGATAGCAAATAGTTTTCTTGTATAATTATTATAGTGATTTGTCTTATCAGGTTCTGCTCTGCCAAGATCTCTGCTTGTCTGACTCTGCTTGACTATAATAGTCATTACAAAATGACTATTATGCATCTTGGTCATTTTTATTAGAAGTACTTTTAAAAAAAATCTATATTCATGAAGAATCAGGAAAATTAGAATAAAGTTAATTTAACACATACATACAATATATTTTGATAAAATAGAATTAATGTCAAAACCTTGTAATTTTAAAATATATCTGATAAAGGACTTGTGTCCAGTATATACATATAGGATCTTTCACAAATTTATAGTAAAAAAACAAACAACCCAATAAAAATTGAACAAATCAAAATAGACATTTTCTCAGAAAATGCAAATAGCAAATTGATACATGAAAATGTGTTTCACATCAACAATTATTAGGGAAATGCACATTAAAACCATGATAATGTTTCAGACCCAGTTGAATGGTTAACATTTTAAAAACTGGCTTACCAACATGGCCGACCCGAGTTCGATTCCTCCGCCCCTCTCGGAGAGCCCGGCAAGCTACCGAGAGTATTCGATATGCCAGACACAGTAACAACAAAGTCTCCAATGGAGACGTTACTGGGCCTGCTCGAGCAAATCGACGATCAACGAGAGGGCCTTTACTTTACTTTACTTTACTTACTTTACTGGAATTACATTGTGGTAAGAATGAAAAATATGAAAGACTAGAAAAACAGTGTAGTAGTTGCTTATGTTAAGTATGTTAAGTCATACTTACCATAAAATGCATCAATCTCACACCTAAGCATTAACACAAGTGAACTACTAACATATATGAAATAATTACATTTATATGAATATATAGTATACATATTATACACTACAGCAGATTTGTTTATTATCTCCCCAAGCTGGGAACAACTCTAAGTCCAACTATTGAATGGATTAACAAAATACAGTACATACCTACAATATTCAGTGATTAAAAAGCAAGTAGAGGACTGGATCTATAGTCTAATATGTAAATCACTTGCTTTATTCCTGACACCTCATATTCCTGACCCTTAGCCCTCCCAGGAATAATCCTTCTTGGGTGACTCATGGCCCTGAACACAGTTACGTGTGGTCAAAAAAGCAAACAAATACAGAATAATTTTTTTAAAAAAGCAAGTAGGGGATTAACTACAAAGGAACATAGGGGACTTTACAAAATAATGAAAATATTTCTATATGTTGTCACAGTGGTTAAGCAACTATACAGATTTATTAAAACTACAAGTTGTATACTTAAAATGGGTGTATCTTACTGTATAGGAATTATATCTCAATAAATCTGGTGAGAAAAATAATCATTTGTAACTGCAAACATAATATTTGACATTACTGAAAAAATAGTTGTCATAACTTAATCAGCAAAGTTCAGGATAAAGTCAATCTTTATTTTAAATAGGAACAGACAGATGTGTTAATCATTATCACTCTTCTAATCTAAGGCAGATTAATACCTGTATTCCTTTATACAGTATTCGTTCAAATGTAGTATAATGAACTTTCAGAGACCTGGAAAAAATGTGTGTTCTTTTAGTATTCATTGGCAAACTCTCTGCTTTACTCGCACTGAATATCATCTATAGTTATTCTTTGGCAATTGTTGGAAAATTTTAAGAAGAAATGACTAAATGAAAATTGTCATTTTTCCCATTGCCCACTCTTCAGAATATCTGGATTCAAAATAGCTTTATAAAGCCCAAACTATCCTATTACCAGAGTCATGCATTGTCTTTATAAAAATTGCATAAAGCAACTTGAGCACATGGTTTGTGATGTCTTAATTTTTTCTCAGTTCAGCTATAGGGAACAGCTTGTATATATGTTGAAAATTCTCCTAAAAACAATCATATTTGCATAATTTTTGAAAATCCTTTGGGTACCTTCATTGTCGCATGTGCATTTGGTTTTTGTGGTAAGGGAATCATGTGCTAACCTGCTCTTTCATTTGCATAGATATAAACCAGGGTCATTATTAGTTTAAAAATAATTTGATGTCTGTAATTTTCATCTGATTTTACACCTGTGAAATTAAAAGCAGCCCCACCTGTCTAAATATGGTTCTTTGTACCTATGTCATGCTGGTATGAATGGGTAGAAAGAGGAATGACATTACTGGAACCATTATTTCAGCAAATTTCAGAAAAACTATTGCCACTTACACATATATTAGCTTAAAATTTCTATGACTTAGGAACCTTTCCTGGTTCATAAGTATGATGATTGAGTGTTTACATGTTTCTGTTATATATACCTTTCTTAAATCTTATTACGAGGTTGGCCCGTTGTCTGATGTGTAAAACTGAAAAAAAAAATTAACGAAAGAAAACGTTCTGTGACTTAAAGCTGCTCTTATGTAAATTTGTTTATCTAATTATTCTGGAAATAAAAATTTAAAAATGTTAGCTCAATTTTTTACCAATTTACTGTATCTGAACCCATTGTTTCATTGAATGCGGTTCTTCAAATCTGAAAATGATGGAGACCAAGAAACTAATGCAAATGTCTCAGATATGTGACAGGAATACATTCTTCTCAGTTGTTATTCTCTCTTCTCAGTTTTTCATTCTAGTACCAGATTAGAAATCCAGAAAACAAAGTTCTAATTCTGCTTTATCTCACTTTTTCTAGTTCTTAGTTTTTCTCCTAATTTGTGCAATACCAATTTCTTTTTAATAATGGGGCCAGAAATTTAGAGATTTATTGTGTTCTATTTTTTGAAAATGTATGCAAACACTGAGAGAAAATTAATTAAAAAATGATTCCACATCTGTGCCAGATAAACTAACCTCAAAAAATATGCAAGCTTTTTAAGCCTTATAATTTTTTTTATATTTTATTATTGGTTTAGATCTAGAGGTAAGAACAAAATAAAATTTTTATTTATTTTACAAATACTACATTTTCTTCCCTTTGCACAATTTATTGGGAGTGGATGTGTTTAAGTACTATCTATACGCCCAATTGATTACCATTTTTATTACATCACTTCCTGTGGATCTCTGAAAGTTATACTATTTTTAAAACTGTTTAATCCATCAACTTAAAATTGCTGTTCATTGCAGAGTAAGCTTTAGGTATGAGAAACTTAATATGGAACCTGATAGCCTCCTACTTATTAACATTATGATTTCTTTCAGTGTTTTACTGCTTGCTTATAAATACATTTTTTGTTAAAACAGAATAGTGCATTCATAGTCACGATTGTATACAGGTACAAGTTGTTCACTTTTCTCAAACATTTGGAAGAAATACAAACAAAAGCCATATGTTTTAAATATTCTACAGAATACCTTTCTTCCATTTGCTCATATGTTACAAATGATTTTTAGCTGGTACTATTTCTGAGGAATACCTCTAAACCTCCAATTTTATGACAAGTATTTCTATAGATATTCATGAATGCACCTTTCACTTAAATATAATTTTTTAATCTAACAATAAACTCCCAATCCTTTTTAATCTTTGAGACAGCCATGTTTATAGGTCTCAGTCTTCTAAGTACTTTACTTGGCCAACTTTGGATCAGAGCATCTTGTCTACTCCCCTGTTCAGATCTAAATGGGCTTCAGCTCATCTAAACAAAGAAGACTGTATGCAGTGTATTTTTTTAAATAAATTAAAATTATCTTTAGGCTGGGATTCAATATACTAAAAATTGCCAATAATTTTCTCAGAGGAAAAACAAAGAAGCAATCAAAATCCCTCTATATGTATAGACACACAAAAAACCCTTCCCACCCTCCACCACCCCGCCCCCATGAAAGTTTGTATTGAGAGTGACAAAGATCATCAAACCTATCCATGTAGAGTGGGTTGAAATAGCTAAGAATTTCTGTTTCATTAAAGTAGGAGGTAATAGCTGGAGTAATAGCACAGTGGGTACGGTGCTTGCCTTGCACATGGCCAACCTGGGTTCGATTCCCAGCATCCCATATGGTCCCCTGAGCACTGCCAGGGGTGATTCCTGATTGTAGAGCCAGGTGTAACCCCTGTGCATCGCTGGGTGTGACCCAAAAAGCAAAAGAATAAAAAATAAAAAAATATAAAGTAGGAGGTAAGCAATCATAGAGGGAAATATTTTATTTACAGACATACATAATATGGAATCTGATAGTCTCCTACTTCACTAGACTCAACCTTTAACAACATGTTAGTGATCTCTTATAAAAGGGCTTAATGACTTCTAGGTGAAATACAACAATCTTCACAACTTTCCTATAAGGAAACTTTTTTGGAGGATATTCAGCGGTTTTTCATAACAATACAAAATAAATTATTTCAATTCTGCTGGGCTGGAGTGGTAGCCCAGGGATAGGGCATTTGCCTTGCACACAGGTAGCTGGCCAAGCAAGGTTCGATTTCTCCGCCCCTCTTGGAGAGCCCGGCAAGCTACTGAGAGTATCTTGCTCACACGGCAAAACCTGGCAAGCTACACATGACATAGTCATATGCCAAACACAGTATCAAGTCTCACGATGGAGACGTTACTGGGCCTGCTCGAGCAAATCAGTGAACAACTGGAGGACAGTGCTACAGTGCTACAGTACTGCTTTGGGGCAGGGGTTGGGGTTCAGGATGGAAGTATCTGAAATATGGTGGTGGGAAGGTGTAATGGTGGTGGGATTGGTGTTTGAATATTAACTGTAATCTGATATCGTGAATCACTTTATAAAATAAAAAAAGGGGGGGGAAAGAATCTATATTTTAAACTTTAAAGAAGACCTAAATTTCTTGAAAGGTAACTCCGTTTTGGATACTCGATAATAAAAAAAATCCTATCTTTAACAAATTTCTCCCATTTCAACTTGTTCCCTTTGTAAAGTTTGTAAAGAACAGTTAGATACCATTATCTTTCATTTACTTGAGGGCCATTATAAGCCACCCCTTGGATGTGTCCTCAGCAAGATAAATAATCCCAGCTAAGTAATTCCAGTTTGGCTATACCTTTTCTCAGAGGCCCCATTATTCAATTCTTAATCATCTTTGTTGACTTCCTTTGAAAAGTCTTCCAGTTTTCCTTACTCATCTGAGATTATTGAACCTAAATTATTTTGTAGACTAGTGGGAGATTCTGCCTAAGTAGTTGAGATACATAATAAGCACACTGTCCTGAGTGTTGTGGATGTATCTTTATTTCTGTCATATTAAAAATTCTCTAGCAAACACATTTCTGGGCCTCTAAAGGCACTTTTAATTGCTTGGTCTACTTTATTTTTCTTTTGGTATGTTCGGCCTCTCTTATCCTGGTTTTCAAACTTGTGAGCTATTCTCTTTAGATATGCTGTTCTTAGAACTTGAGGCATTATTTACTGCCTGTATAAGTGTAATCAGAAGCTCTTCTCTTAAGATCAAATAGATTCATTTAAAATAAGATATTTAAAAATTTGACTGGTTGCATTTCTTTAATTAATATCTATTTTTTCCAAGTTATTTTCAATAATAGCTAATTAAATATCTGTGTTTACACCTTATTTTTCTACTTCCTCCTGGAAACTCTGGTTTCTTCTTTCTTGTTTATTGAGGCACTGAATCAAAACCACCTCTTATTGCCAGAGCAAGTTGAGCAGATAAAGACATTGATTTATATACTAAATGGAATGCCATTCAGCTCAATGAAAAGATAAAATCCTACAATTTGCTACACATGTATGGTACTAAAAGAGAGTATTATGCTGAGTGAAGTCATTCAAAAGAATAGAGACGAATATAGGATGTTCTCTCTCATATATGGAATATAGAAGAAACAAATGGCTGGTGGCTAAAAGTCACTAAAAGTCAGCCTGCAGAGTTGAGTTTACTTGTAAGGTGCAGGTAGAAATGGTTGAGGTATACTGACACTCTGTTGATGGGTATTGTGTTAGAATTTTGCATGCCTGAAACTATATCATTGACAATATATGAAAATCACATTGACTAATTAAAAATTGGAGAAAAGTCATCTCCTTAATAATTGCCCCAATTTCAGTTTGTATCTTAACTCTATCATGATGACATTGCTATTTTCACTGTCATAAAAATTAACCACCAATTAAAATTATACATTCATTGATCTTTAATTTTTTTCACCTTTCCTCATTGGTATGGTGAGTGTATACCATAAAATCCAAAATCTTTTCTGGCTGCCTCATTTGTTCCAGTAGCATCTAGGTCAGTTATTATATATGTTAAGCTCTAAAAACAACTCATTCCTTATTTGTCACACTTGAAAATCTTTAAATGTTATGTCTTTAGAAAAAACATTATTTTACGTATACTTTATGTAGCATTGTAGCACTGCCTTCCTGTTGTTCATCCATTTGCTCAAGTGGGCACCAGTAACGTCTCCATTGTGAGACTTGGTACTGTTTTTGGCATATAGAATACGTCACAGATAGCTTGCCAGGTTCTGCCGTGTGGGCGAGATACTCACAGTAGCTTGCCGGGCTCTCTAAATACTTTATTTTTTTTTTTTGCTTTTTGGGTCACACCCAGTGATGTACAGGGGTTACTCCTGGCTCTTCACTCGGGAATTATTCCTGGTGGTGCTCAGGGGACCATATGGGATGCTAGGAATCAAATCCAGGTGCAAGGCAAATGCCCTACCCACTGTGCTATCGCTCCAGCCCCCTCTCTGAATACTTTATGTAAAAAATAAAATAACTTATGTTAAAGTGTTGTGGGCTATGCAGATCTTGAGCTAATTTAAAGATTTTATTTTTAATAAATACCAAAAAATGTTTTGAAAATAAAAGGAGTGAGAAATACTGACTCATTAGTTAAAGTAAAATCAAATTATAAGGAAATAAACTTTTTATAGACATACACTAAGAAGACTAAGGGAATTTCTCTATGAGTTATTTGCACTGTTAGAGTATCCCTCCAAGTCTTAACTCAAGGTTCTGAAAAATCCCTTAGAAACACAGAATTCCAGGGGAAAAAAGAGTTACAGAATGCTGCAGTGCATTTTTCTTTCCCTCAGGATAGGGATTGGGGATGAGGCAGATATATTCCTACTTCTCTGTATGCATAGCATATATTGATAAAAAAATTTTATCTCTTGGCTTACCTATATTCTGTCTTAATTCATACACAATCTCACTTAAGCATAGTGACATTCACCCCAAACCAGGGACGGAACAAGAGATTTGTCTGTCTCCAGTAAAATCCATTAGATGGGAAATTAGGTTCAATGTTTTTAGCTTCTGATGTTCAAAATAAATATGACAATTTGATGCTTCTTTCCTTTGAGTAAATAAGCTTTTCCATTCATTCCCTACTCCTCTGAATAGGATACTTAGGGTATTATCAATAAT